CTAGAAAGGAAAAATCCTGGAATTTCCTACTTGGCCAAATCTCTGCAGTTCACCTGGGGCTATAATCCTATCAACTGGCCTTTCATTGAGGCTGAGGCCAATCTCCCAATTCTATTCTTTTACCTCCCAATTGCCCCTGGCCACTTTCTAACTTTAATCCTATCTAGACTCCATTTTTCTTGGCCCCCATGGTCCAGGTCCCTGCCTTTCTAGTGACCCCAAACTACTTGGCCACTCCTAGGTCCCTCCCACAGTCTTTCTGTATATAAGGTCTATCTTGTCTCCATTTAGGTGCTCAGATTCTTAAAATCTAGCTAAATACTGAGATTCTTAAAATCTAGCCACTGTTCAGATTCTTAAGATCTGACCTGCTTCCATTAGTGATACAAATGCTTAGATTCCTTAAGAGTCTGCTCAATATGATGGACGTTCTCATAAACCTTGTCTTTGGCTGAAAAAAAAGAATGAAATATAGCTCTGCCAAGCCAGGCTTTGCTAAAGCCTGTTGGGATTCAAATGGAGCTACTTGAGGATGCCTTTATACTCAAATCACTCTGGCTCTCACTGACTGGCCAAGAAGAGGTCTCAGCCCAAACCTCACTCATTTTTTTGGATTTTGATGGTTCAGAGTGAATGTAGAGCATTTTTTTTTCTTTTTTTGTCAGAAACCCTGAAGGTCTTCCCCTTCCAGATTGATTCTTCCAAGAAGGCAAATCATTAGCCTCAATTCTCACTTAACCTTTAGTCTCTGAATGGGTGTTGTCTCAGGCAAACTGACACCTGGGAATGACCTTAGCTTAAAAAAAACCAAGGTCTCCCACTGCATTCAGGGCCATGACCAATGTCTTGCCATTGGACTCTGAATGACTCTGGAGGAGAGAGTGGGGATGATGGCTTTGGGCTGTTCTGCCCCGCTTCAATGTAATTCACTTGCAAGTCAAGACATCATCCTCTTGCTGTCATTGGTTCTGTTAGAGAAAGAAGAATGAATAGCAATGGAGACCCAAGAAGCAGACGGCCTTGGGATCCCAGGTGGGGTGAGACCAGTCAGAGCCTCAGTGACCTAGGAGTCAGAGCTCTCCCTCTAAATTGGTCCTCTCCCAGACACACACACACACACATTATCTAGACAACAGGCTGACTGCTTGATCTAGGAGGGAGGGAAGCTAGGGAAGGCTGCAGTTGGGGAGGACTCTTGAATGGAGCTACCAGAGAATGACCGGGGAAGCCTGAGGCTGGGAGACAAAATCCAGTCTGGGATTCAGCCTCCTGGCAGGGGGCCTGAGGCAGGGAAGCAGGAGGCCTGGGTATGTGGGGCAGGGGCAGGATCTGGAGGCAAGACAATCTAACACAGTGCATGGCAGGGAGGTGGGGGACACTGGAGTGATAGACGTGTTTCAGAAGGACTCTGTGTCTTCAAAAGCAGGATGACTGCATCCTGATGTCTAACCAGGAACTGGGGAAGACTGTTGAGATCCTCTGGTAGAGCTGGTGGATCATTGCTGCCATGAAATTAAGAGATGCCTCCTTCTTTGAAGGAAACAATGGCAAATTTGGACAGCACCCTAAACAGCAACAAAAGGTCACATAGTCTTTCAGTAATATGACTGTCAGAGATGCAGTATCAGGAAAACTGAGCACCAAGAATCAACACTTTTAAATTGTGGTGCTAGAGAAGACTTTTCAGAATTCCTTGGATGGCAAAAAGGTGAAATCAAGCCATCCTCTTTTTTTAATTATTAATTTATTTTTAGTTTTCAACATTCACTTCCATGAGATTTTGAGTTTCAAATTTTCTCCCCATCTCTCCCCTCACCCCACCCCATGACACCATGTAAACTGATATAGACTCAACATATACATTCATATTAAATATATTTTGACATTAGTCATGTTGTAAAGAATTAGAACCAAATAGGAGAAACCATGAGAAACAAGAAACCAAAAAGAGAGAGAGGGGGCAAATAATATCCTTCAATCAGCATTCAGACTCCATAGCTTTTTCTGGATGTGGAAAGCATTTTCCATCAAGAGTCTTTTGGAGTTATCTTAGATCCTTGTATTGCTGAGAAGAGCTAAGTCTATCAAAGTTAGTCATCTCACAATGTGGCTATTACTGTGTACAGTGATCCCCTGGTTCTACTCACTTCACTCAGCATCAGTTCATATAAGTCCTTCCAAGTTTTTCTGAAGTCTGCCTGCTCATCATTTCTTCTGGCACAACAGTACTCCATTATATCCATATACCACAACTTGTTCAGCCATTCCTCAACTGTTGGGCATCCACTCAATTTCCAGTTCTTGACCACTAACTACAAAAAGAGCTGCTGTAAATATTTTTGTACATGTTTCACATTTTTATGATCTCTTTGGCATACAGACCTAGAAGTGGTATTGCTGGGTCAAAGGGTAAGCACAATTTTATAGACCTTTGGGCATAGTTCCAAACTGCTCTTTAGAATGGTTGGATCAGTTAGCAACCCCATCAACAATATATTAAGTGTTCCAATTTTCCCACATCTTCTCCAGCACTGCACTTTTAAACTTAGCTCAGAGTTTTTCTTCAAATAAAAGTGACTGAAGAACGCTGAGAAACTCTGAGAGAGGAACACTGAACTTCGGAACTCCTGAGCTTCTTCACACAGATTGTTGTTGCTGTCTCTTTCTTTGCTAGTGAGTCAGATTTAAGTGAGACAGAACTGTGCAAAGGCATCAGCCTCACTCTTTCCCCCAGAATTATCAGAAACCAGTGGCAAGACAACTGGTGATGGCCCTCCATTTCTACCTAATCTATAAACATACCCACAACTGAGAGATTTGAGGGTCCCAGAACAGATTACAGAATTATGACTTTACAAACTAATTTTTAGTTCAGTTTTGTGTCACCTTTGCCAGCTACCTGTCTCCATTTGTCACAGAAGTCAGATGTCTGCTGATCAGTCCACTTTCTGAACTCTCTTAGTCTCTTCTGTGGGGATAATTTGCCTTGCATATATTTCTCATTAAAGAATCATATAAGAGGAGAAGATGAGCTGGCCACAGGGTAAGGAAGAGAGCTGATAGGTGGACAGCCAGAACACTCCACAAGTCCTCTTGAGATGTCAGGAGAAAGGAAGGAAGGAAGGACTCCATCATATTGGATGGATCCTCTGTGGTGAACTTATGTGAGGATACAGGTAAGAGTCACACAGGATGGAGAGCCAGACATGGATGGTTTGAGATCTACCTTGCTGGAAGGAGCTTCCACACTGAAGAGACCACAGATCTGGCCATCAGAGTATGTGAGTGAGTCCCTGCATATAGTGCTTACTTCCATCTGTCTCAGTTCATTTACCCTTCTCTGAATTCTTCCTATCCACTGTTTCTTATGGCACAATAATATTCTAATATATTCACATGCCACAATTTGTTTAGACATTCCCCAATTGATGAATATCTATTTTATTTCTCTTTTGTATCTACTTCATTTTTTGCTACCAAAAAAAAATCACTGTAATGAATAGTTTAGTGTAGATCAAACCTTTCTTTCTCTGATGTCCTGAGAATTTGTATCTTGCAGTAGGGTCTCTGTTTCACACAGTGTGGGTATTTGATGACCTTTTAATAAATCATAATTCCAAATGACTTTCCAGAATAGTTGGCCCAATTCACAACTACAGATATTGTGTTACTGTGCTTCCAATTCTACAGCCTCCTAACACTATTGGTATCTTTTGTTATCTCTGCCAACTTGATGGATGTAAGGTTTAACCTCAGACTTGAAACTTTTCATTCTTAAAAGCATCTTATATTTTCTACTGAATAAATATGGCAAGAAACCTACTTCACTGGTTGCACAGAAAGAGCTTCTCAGTTAGCAATGACATGCAAGTTTACTAACTCAACAAAGATCTAGTTTAAAACTCCCCATCTTGCTGCCTCTCCAAATCACCAGGCACACCCAGAAAGCTTGGTGAAATCATCTGAGGCATTAGCCCTAACCTGCAGCTGGGGCCTCACCAATAAGTGGTGGGGCAGGGGTGGGGTGGGGTTGGGTTCATCTGTAAGCTCCCCTTCGGCTTCTTGGATCCACAAGATGGAGGGATCTAGAGCTGGAAGAGATCATAGAGATCACCTTGTCTGATATTCTCTGAGACCCAGTTAAGTTGAATTACTTTCACAAAGCCACAGAGGTATAGAACCAGAATTTCAACCCATGTCCTCTGACTCCCCATCTATTCCACCATACTGCCTTTCAAGCAGGTGACCACGTGGAAAGGAAGGATCCAATATGCCTAAGAAGCTATTATATAAGCAATCTTTTATTTCCCCTTCCTCTCCCTCCCCGTAGGGTTATAGCTAGAACAGGGTAATTATGGAAGGCATCAGCACCGCCACATCCTCTCCTAATGTTCTCTGCCTAATTATGTTAGCTTTTTCTTTTACATTCGAGGGCTGCTAGATGGCACAGTGGATAGAACACTGGCCCTAGAGGCAGGAGGACCTGAGTTCAAATCCAGCCTGAGACACTAGCTGGCTGTGTGACCCTGGGCAAGTCACTTCACCCCCATTGCCTCCAAAATAATAATTAAAAAAAATAAAGCCTTTACATTCAAAGAAGGAAGCAACCCATAGAACTAATGAGTGTAAGCTGCAAGAGGCAGAGTTCAGCCTGATGGGATGAACAGTGTGGTATTAATGGGCCACTTGGTGCACATATACTAAATATTCAAATTATCTCATGATCTATCCTCCCTGTAAGCCTAACATATTTTCCCTGGTGATCAATTTCAATCTTATTTTTTCTCTTGTATTATCTGATGTCACATGCAGAATACCAACATTTTTTTTTTATTTATCTGAGGCATAAGTGATTTTGCTCTGATCCATTAATTTTTTTTTGGTGAGGCAATTGGGGTAAAGTGACTTGCCTAGGGTCACACAGCTAGTGTCAAGTGTCTGAGGCTGGATTTGAACCTATGACCCATTAATTTTTTTTATATAACTATTATTTATTTCTTTTAAAAAATATAATTAAATTCATCTGCTCAATAAAATAAAATTAAAATCTTAAACACTCAATTAAAGGAATGTATGGCATTGCCCATATCTGAAAATATGGATCTGATATAGGAATTTTACTTCATCATCTTTTTCCACAAAAGTGAACAGAGTGCTTCAATATTGGTCCTCTTGGATGCCTTCCCCCTTCAAGGTTCACAAACCTCTTCAAGGATTGTTCAATGATCCAAGGGATTTGAGCTAAAAATTTGTCAGTGGCACCTCAAGTGGTAAATAATTGTCCAGTTTGGTTACAAAGATATTTATCCTCTGAAACATCAAGTATGTGAATGTTTCAACCTTAACAGCAGTCTTTCTGCACTGATTCCAAAATACAATGATCTGGACTACACTGCTTTTGGGAATTGTGCAGCAAGTAACTCAAACTCCGACTGCTTCTGACTATGTGCAACATATTCTTACAGTTTCTCAACCTGACATCAAATTGTTTCCAAACTTCCAGGAAGGTTGGACATTCATTGAAAGAATAAGAGAGGCTCTCATTGCACCAGAGTAGTTCTCCCATTCTTTGTCTACCTTATAATCACCAGATCAAGATTTTACTTGGGTTTGCATTCTTACAACAGTGAAGGCAGGTTATTTAAAAATCATGAACACTAGGCATACACAGTAGAGGTCATCATGAAACCGTTACGGACCACCATAACGTTTCTATAAAAACAGACCATGGAAACAGTAAGGTTGTTTTCTAATTTGAAATTCTCCTTTGTTTATGTTACTTTTTCCATCCAAACTTTTCAAAGGCCTTGGTTGGCAATGTGGGTTAGTCATTCAGTAGAGCTTCTCTGAATGTGCAGCCAGTTTACCAGCGGTAGAGAAAACAAAGTCATGTTTAAAAAAATTCTATCCTTTCAAAGATTGTTTTGTATATAATCATTAGTAATAAAAAAGAACCCAAATCAATGTTTTCAATTGATCTTCAAGTACATTTGTCATTTAATGCAGTAGTTATGTTGAGCCAATAGAAAAAGAAATCTTTGTAATAGTAATTAGCAATTCATTGTGACTTAATGTTAGACAGTTAAAAAAATTAATTTCCATCCTTTAGCAGAAGCTTGTCAAATTCTCCTTCTATTTCCCACCTCATCCATGAGTGAGCATTTTCACCCTATTCTCTTTGAAAATGAGAATACAAGTGGTGGATAGAATGCTGGGCCTCAAATCACAAAGACCTGAGTTCCAAACCTACATAATAAATTTGTTAGTCCTACGACCCTCTCCAGCATGTATTCTCTAATGTTGGGTAAGGGTGATCCATCCATGTAAAAGCTTTTCCACATTGATTACATTCCTAAGGTTTCTCTCCAGTGTGGATTCTCTGATGTTCACTAATAGTCTTCCTACACCTGAAAGTCTTTCCACATTGATTGCATTTATAAGGTTTTTCTCCAGTGTGGATTCTCTGATGTTGAACAAGACTGTCCTTCCATTTATAAGTTTTCCACACTGATTGCATTTATAAGGTTTCTCTCCAGTATGGATTCTCTGATGTAAATGAATACTCTTCCTACATCTGAAAGTCTTTCCACATTGATTACATTTGTAAGGTTTCTCTCCAGTGTGGATTTTCTGATGGTGAACAAGACTGGCCTTATGTGTATAAGTCTTTCCACATTGATTACATTCATAAAGTTTCTCTCCAGTGTGGATGCTGTGATGTAGAGGAAGACTGTTCCACCATTTAAAAGCCTTTCCACATTGATTACATTTGTAAGGTTTCTCTCCAGAATGAGTTCTCTGATGGACAACAAGCTGAGCCTTCTTTTTAACAGTCTTTCCACACTGATTACAGTCATGAGATTTCTCTCCAGTATGGATACTCTGATGTAGTGTAAGAGCTCTACTTTCCCTAAAAGCCTTTCCACATTGATTACAGTTATAAGGTTTCTCTCCAGTATGCATTCTCTGATGTAGAGTAAGGCTGGTATACCATGTAAAGGCCTTTCCACATTTATTGCACTCATAAGGTGTTTCTCCAGTGTGCATTCTCTGATGTACAGTAAGATTGTTAGACCTCTTAAAAGCCTTTCCACATTGATTACATTCATAAGGTTTCTCTCCAGTGTGGATTCTCTGATGTTGAACCAGACTGTCCTTCCATGTAAAAGTCTTTCCACATTGTTTACATTCATAAGGTTTCTCTCCAGTGTGGGTTCTCTGATGCTGCACAAGACCATCCTTCCATGTAAAAGTCTTTCCACATTGGTTACATTCATAAGATTTCTCTCTCATGTGGATTCTCTTAAGTGTAGCACAGATTTCTCTGTGATTCATGTCACCAGGACCATCATTCATGAATCTTTGCTTGTGAGTTTCTTCCATAGAAAAGCTTAGCTTTACAGTTGTTTCCTTCCTTTCAAGTCTGCTCTCTTCTTCTGAAAAAACAAAACAAAAACAGAAACCATTCACACACATAAATCTATTTATATTACCTTCATTCCATTTGCAGAACATAAACTCATTTACTTTACTATTTCCTCATTCAAAAAGAAATGTCTTAAAAGGGCTGAACTAATCATGTAAAATGCCTTTAGCTCACATTCCATGGATGATTTAATTTGCCAAGACCTTCATGCATAATCACAATGGATTTTCACAACAAACCTGTGATCCAAGCAAGGCCTTTATTCTCATCACTTCCACCACTGAGACCATGAGCTTAGAATGGCTGAGTGAAGGGTTAATGTATAATATCTTCCCAATCCACAGCCCAAGCCAAAAGACAAGGAAACTTCCCTAATATATTGTTCTGGGATTTGTTTAAACCCAGACCCACCTTGGGGAACTATCCTCAGAAACATGTCTCGAGGTAAACACCCAGGGACTTGGCCAGTTCCTGGGTATTGACTTGAGAAATATTTGACATAACAAACATTGTTCTTGAGGTTGGAGAGTTTCAGCCAAAACTCTCAGGTCCTTAGGATCAATCACCTATCCCTTGGCTCCCTGTCTTCTTTGTGTAAGGATGATAAAAAGGGTCTCTCTTGGGAAATGGGGCTCTTAGGGAGTCTCCCCTCAGAAAGGATGCTCTGCCATAGAGACTTTCCCAACTGAGACCCTGAAGGCTGTGATACAGGACTCCCCCAGCCAGATGTTCAGGACTTGGTGCTTCCTTGGTGATGTATTTCTTCTTCTTTATCTCTCTGTCTTTCTGTTAATAGTCTTTGTTTCTAAGATTGTATAATCATATGTAATCACATTTATGTGCGTGTATGTTTAGGATTATTATTATTAAATCATTTTCAAGCTAGGAAAAGTGTGAACCTGTCTTTGTGGGTATAGATCTGAACCTGTGAAACAAAATGTAAGTGCTGTGCATCTCACAACAGTAGATTTTGGTGAAGTCACTCAGTGTAACAGTAGAGGTCATCATGAAACCATTATGGACTGCCATAACCTTTCTATGAAAATAGACTATTGAAACGGTAAGGTTGTTTTCTAATTTGAAATTCTCCTTTGTTTATGTTACTTTTTCCATCCAAACTTTTTTTTTGACAGTCTCTCAAGATTTATTGTATAAGCCAAATAGAAGGGTAGTATGTATAGAGGAGTTAGGGGAGGATCATTTCTTAGTCTCCTCCTCCTTGGAGAAAGTCTTGATGATCTCCTGTTTCTTAGCCTGCAGACATTCTTCCCCATGCTTTCATGCTTCTTTAATATTGGACCGGCAAGCTTCAGCCTGGTCAGCCAAGAACTTCTTTTGGGCCTTCTCTGCTTTCAGCTTATGAATATGCTCCATGAGGATCCACTTATTCTTGAATACATTTCCCTTCACCTTCAAGTACAGGCTGTGGTACCTATGGTGATCAATCTTTTTGGATTTACGATATCTTTGGAGCAGATGGAGCACAATCTTCATTCACCTCATCCAGGTCACCTTCTCAGGCATACGAGCATTGGCAGTACCCTTTCTCTTACCAATGCCCATGTGCCTGCCCTTCCATCAAGCTGGAGCATTTTTCTGGCATCTGGCACCAGAGTGCACAGTAATGAGTTTCCGGATGATCAGCCCATCTGTAATCAGCTTCTGGATCTGCTGATGGGAATTGGCATTGGCAATTTCATTGGTCTCATTGGGGTCAAGCCATACCTTCTTCTTTCCACATCTAAGGACACTAGAGGCAAGCCTCTTCTGAAGCCTGAGCATACTCATGGCTGCAGCTGCAGTGTGGAAAAAGAAAGGAGCCCATCCAAAGTTTTCAAAGGCCTTAGTTGGCAATGTGGGTTAGTCATTCAGTAGAGTTTCACTGAATGTATAGCCGGTTTACCAGTGGTAGAAGAAACAAAGTTATGTCTAAGTAAATTTTATCCTTTCAAAGATTGTTTTGTATACAATTACTAGTAATAAAAAAAACCCCAAATCAATATTTGCAATTGACCTTCAAGTACATTTCTCATTTAATGCAGTAGTTATGGTGAGCCTATAGAAAAGAAATCTTTGTAATAGCAATTAGCAATTCATTGTGACTTAATGTTAGACAGTTAAAAAAAATCAATTTCCGTCCTTTAGCAGAAGCTTGTCAAATTCTCCTTCCATTTTCCACCTCATTCATGAGTGAGCATTTTCACCCTATTCTGTTTAAAAATCAGAATACAAGTGGTGGTGCAGTGGATAGAATGCTAGGCCTCAAATCAGAAGACTTGAGTTCTAATCCCACCTCAGAAACTTGCTAGCTCTATAACCTTAGGTTAGTCACAAGGACTGTCTCCGTTTTGTTTATTTTTTTTGATCTGTGAAATGAGGATAAGAGCACCTAACAGTTAGGGTTCTCATGAGGATAAAATGAGACAATATTTATACATACATGACACATACATAGTAGGTGCTGTCTAAACTCTAGCTATTCTTTTATTTGATTTTGACTATTTCCTCCCCTATTCTGCTGTCCTTTAAAAAATATTTGGTATTTTATTTTTCCCAGTTACATTTAAAAAATATTTTTAACATTCATTTTTAAAACTTTGAGTTCCAAATTCTCCCCTTTCCTCCCTCTCCATGCACCCTCATTGAGAAGGCAAGGAATTTGATATAGGTTATACATGTGTAGTCATGCAAAACATTTCCATCATAGTCATGTTGTAAAAGGAAACATAGAACAAGAAAAAAAAACCTCATGAAAAATAAAGTATGCTTCACTCTGTATTCACACACCATCAGTTCTTTCTCTGGGGATAGATAGCATTTTTCACCATAAATAAGTTCTTTTCAGAGTTGTTGTGGATCATTGTATTGCTGAGAATAGCTAAGTCATTCATTCTACAATATTGCTGTTACTTTGTACACAGTACATGTCATTTTGCATCAGCCCATGCAAGTCTTTCCAGGTTTTTCAGAGTGCATCCTGCTCACCATTACAATAGTATTCCAGCATAATCACGTATTACAACTTGTTCAGCCATTCCTCAATTGATGGACATCACCTTAGTTTCTAATTCTTCGCCCTCAGAAAAGAGCAGCTATAACTATTTTTGTACATAAGTCCTCTTGTTTTTTTTAAATCTTGTTTGGGATACAGACCTAATAGTCATATTGAGAGGTCAAAGGGTATGCATGCTTTTACAGCCCTTTGGACATAGTTCCATATTGCTGTACAGAATGGTTGAATCAGTTCAGAACTACTCCAACGGTACATTAATGTCTCATTTTCCCCATGTCCCTTCCAACAATTGTCATTTACTTTCCTGTCCTAGTAGCCAATCTAATAGTCATGAAGTAGTATCTCAAAATTGTTTAAATTTACATTTCTTGAATCAATAATGATTTAGAGTATTTTTTATATGGCTACAGATAGCTTTGATTACTTCATCTGAAAACTGAACATATCTTTTGATCATTTATCAATTGAGGAACGACTCTTATTTTTATAAATTTGCGTCAGTTCTGTATGTGCTTGAGAAATGATGCCTTTATCAGAGAAACTTTCTTCAAAATTTTTCCACTTACTGTTGCTAACTGTCTTTCCCTCCATCCTATTTCCCCCCATCTGTTTATTCTGTTCTCTCTCTCCTTTCACCCTGTCCCTCCACAAAAGTGTTTTGCTTCTGACTACTTTGTCCTCCAATCTGCCCTGCCTTCTATCACCCCAACCCCTTCTCATATCCCCCTTCTCCTCCAACTTTCCTGTGGGGTAAGAGATTTCTAAACCCAATTGCTGGTGTATGTTTTTCCTACTTTGAGCCAATTCTGATGAGAATAAGGTTCAATGACTTCCCCTCACCTACCTCTTCTTTCTCTCAACTGTAAAAGCTCTTTCTTGGCTCTTTTATGTGAGATAATTTGCCCTACTCTCCCCTCTCCTTTTCTCCCAGTACATTCCTCCCTGACCTCTTAATTTTACTTTTTAGATATCATCCCTTCATATTCAACTCACACCTGTGCCTTCTGTCTATATATACTCCTCATCACCCTGATAATGTGAAAGGTCTTATAAGTTACAAATATCATTTTCCCATGTAGGAATAGAAATAGTTTAAACTTATGAAGTTCCTTATGATTTCTCTTTTCTGTTTACCATTTTATGCTTCTCTTGAGTCTTGTATTTGAAAGTCATATTTTCTATTAAGCTCTGGTCTTTTCATCAATAATGCTTGAAAGTTCTCTTATTTCATTATATATCCATCTTTTCCCCTGAAGGAATATACTCAGTTTTTCTGGGTAGGTGATTGTAGGTTGTAATCCTAGCTCCTTTGCCATTTGGAATATTATATTCCAAACCCTCTGATCCTTTAAGATAGAAGCTACTAAATCTTGTGTGATCCTGACTTTGGCTCCATAATACTTCAATTGTTTCAGATAATCGAATAATTTTTAAATTATATCACCTGGATCTATTTTCCAAGTCAGTTGTTTTTCAAATGAGATGCTTCATAGTTATCTATTTTTTCATTCTTTTGGTTTTCTTTTGTGGTTTCTTGATTTCTCATGAGGTCAAGCTTCCATTTGCTCCATTCTAATTTTTAAGGAATTATTTTCTTCAATGAGCTTTTGGACCTCCTTTTCCATTTGGCCAATTCTGCTTTTTAAGGCATTCTTTTCCTCATCGGTTTTTTGGACCTCTTTTATCTTTTGGCCTAATGTGTTTTTTAAGGTGTTATTTTCTTTAGTATTTTATTGTGTCTCCTCCACCAAGCTGTTGACTCCTTTTTCATGATTTTTTTTGTATCACTCTTATTTTTCTTCCCAATTTTTCCTCTATCTCTCTTACTTGATTTTCAAAACCCTTTTTGAGCTCTTTCATGGCCTGAGACCAATTCATATTTTTCTTGGAGCTTTGACTTTGTCATCTTCTTCTGCATGTGTGTTTTGATTTTCCTTGTCATCATAGCAACTTTTCATAGTCAGAGCTTTTTTCATTGTTTGCTCATTTTCCTACCTATTACTTGACTTTTAAGTGTTTGTTAAAGTAGAGCTGTGCTTCCAGGGTGGAAGGGTCACATTAATGACCCTTTCCCTATTACCATAAATAAAATCATTTCTCTCTAATTCTTAAAATACTCTCACATGATCCATGTATCCCCAGGAAATGGTGTCCAATATCTTTCCTCCATTTTATGACTAAACAGCTAGAGACTGCCATTTCTAATTGGTGTCTCCAACTCTTTTCCCTTGCTTTCTTTGAAACTCTCTTCTTTCTTTTTTTCCCTTTCTTTCCCCCCCCACCAATCCCCACAAAAGATATAGCCACCATTAGACACAAATTAGTATATCTATGTAAAATCATTCTAGACATATTCCTATTTATTAGTTCTTTCTCTGTACGCAGATAGCATCTTTCTTCATTTGTCCTTTATAGTTAATTTAAGTATTTGTCCAAATAAAAAAAAAGAAAAAAGAAACTCTCTGCATGCTAGCTCCCAATTTCATTGCTCAACTGAAACCCACATCTCAGAAATTATCAATAATCTCAAAACTGCTAAAATTAAATGGCTGTTTCTTAATCCTAATCCTTCATGACTCCTCTGTAGGCTTTGACACTGTCAATGTCCCCTTTTCTTGACACTCCACTGTCTAGATTTTAGTGACATTACACTCTCCTGGTTGTACTTCTGCTAAATCCAAAAGAAAATGGATTCTTTTTCCTCCAACCCTCCGATCTTCTTATATTCCTAATGTTATCCAAAGCATCCTCTGAATAGTCCAGGCTCAGAAACGAAATGATCTGCACTCCTCATCAACACATTCACACTCCTGACCTCCATGTTCAATCTGTTGCAAAGTCCTGTTATTTCTACCTTTCTGACATCTTTCACATATACCTCTTAGTCTCTCAATATTGTTACTTTCTTGGTTCAGACCCCAGTCACCACACAACCTGAGGTAGTTTGAGAGTCTGCTTTTTGGTCTAGCTGATTCAATTCTCCCCCCAGCCCAGTCCTTCCTCCACCCAGTTATCAAATTCTTTCTAAACCTCTCCTCTGACCACATCACTACGTACTCTCCTCCAGTGGCTTTCCAGAAAATGTATTAACTATAAAACCCTCTCTAGGACTGTTAAAAGACTTCATCACCTACCCCTCACCTCCTCTTCCAGTCTTCTTTGACCCTATTCCCCACCCCCTCTTGACATATGTTATAATCCATGGTTTGGGCCTCCCTTCTGTCCAAGGAATAGGACCTTACATCTGTGACTTTTCCTTGCCATCTCTGTTGCTGAGAATGCTCTCCATGGCTTCCCTGAATTCTCAGCTACAGCCCACCTCTCACAATAAGGCTTTCCTAGTCCTCCTTAAATTTAGGGCCTTCCCTTTCTTGACTGGTTCCAACTTATCCTGTCCATAGTAGGTTTCTGCATAGTATTCTCTGCCCCACCAGACTGTGAGCTCCATGGGAGCAGGGAAGTCCCTTGCATCTATTTATGTGCTGGGTCCTTTAGACATGGTCTGGAACAGAGTAGGCACTAAGATGTTTGTTGACTTGAAGAAAGTCTAGGAAAAAATTCCTATAGGATACCCTAACCCCTTTTTGTACTTTCAGGAGAATTCCATGCCCCCAAATTCCAAACAATGACATCTTTTCAGATCATAAAATGATCCCTGGAAGGAGGCTGAAAGGCCATGGCATTCAACCCCCTCATTTTACATATGGAGAAACTGAGGGTCAGTGGTTCTGTGACTGATCCAAGAAGCCACTACTGAGAAATATCTGAAAAAGAATTCCAAGTCAAGTCTTCCTGCCCACAAATGAATCAGTCATTTCACTCTAACACATAGGAGCCACTTGTAATCACAACTTTCATCTCACTCACCTGGATGGCACCTCCTCAGGCCTTCTTGCTCCAGCATCCATGGTGCTTCCCTTTGTTCAAAATAGGAGACCACATCTTCCCTGGGAACTGGAAGCCCTGGGCATGGGGAGTCAGTTAGGAATGAGCATTTAAAGAAACTTGTAGTTTACTTCTCTTTAGGGAAAGGCATTCAAACCCTGAGCTACTCCATTTTGAGATTCACTCCATTATGTCCACACACGGGTCTGTACTCACTCTTTAGTGCTTGCAATGCAAGTAACCTAAAATAGGATGTGCCACATTATCCTGTTGTACAACCTATTCTGAGAAAGAGCCAAACCTCTGCCCGCCATCCTGTCCAGTTCCATTCAGGTAAAAATTCCTAATTCAAAAATGGACTAATATGGGCTAAAATTAAAAATAAATTAAAAAAAGGGTTATTGTGCAAGACCAACCTCAAGCCCCAGAAAAGGGGACGTTGATGACTCAGCTTTTGCACTGTCCTCCTCCCCTGTTCCTCATTCCCTGGCACCTGTAGAAACCTTGTGTACTGTTTATCTTGGGTGTCTTTGACTCCTCAGGTAAGATTCTCTTGCTGGCAAATTCAAGAAATCCTAGTTGGTCCAAATTCTATTTCTTAGCCAGTCTGTTATTCCTGGGAATGCCAGGGGCATGCAAGCAAAGGTCCCAGGGTGGTTCCCAGGACTCCTAAACTACAGTCTCATAGCATTTATTTTCTGAGCTTTGGGGAGAGGTGGAGAGAAGATCATGGAACCACATTGGAATCTGAAAATTTGGTCTTGGTTCAACTTCATAGACAAATGAACTCATTGCACACTTTCCATTCTGTAGAGATTAGAGGCAGCTGATGGTGCAGTGGAGAGAGCCCTGGGTCTAGAGTGAGGCATGCCAGAGTCTAAATTCACTAGCTGCATGTCCCTGGAAAAGTCCCTTAACCTCCATTTACCTCAGTTTCTTCAACTGTCAAAAATGGATAATGCTATCACCTAATTTGAAAGGTTGTCGTGAGGATAAAGTGACATAATATTGTAAAGAAAGCCCTTGGCCCAGCACCTGCCAAATAGTAGGTGAATATAAATGCTTGTTCTCTTCCCTTCCTTTCCTATCATCTCTGCTGGAATTGGAGGGCAATAGGAAAGGAGATTAAGGACAGACTTCCTATATGAAGGACAAGTAGAAGCCATGAGCTACAAAGTGATGCTTGTTAAAAAAAAGAATATGCCAAATACTAGACCCATCCCAAAGAGGAAGAGCTTGTAGGGGAAAGCCACCTGAGCAGTTTTCAGATAGTTGGCAGACAAAAATTCATGCCCAGGGAGAGGTTAGATCAAATAACCTCTGAGATTAGTTCCATGTCTGAGATTCTTCCATAGTATTTTGATCTTTGACTTGAAGCTACCTAGAAGTGGTAAGAGACAGCTTCAGGAGCAACAGAGGAAACCCTCAGGTTGTAGGAACCATTAGGCAATAAGGCAGGAGACCAACACTACTCCCTCCCCAATAATTGATAAATGCTCCCAATCCTGCACACTAAGGAATGAAGATATTCCTTTGATTGCAGACTCAGTGTTAGCAGAGGAAGTCTCCTTACCCAGGGAGAGCAGGTTCTGGGCATTTTCCAACATGACTCCCTTGTACAACTCCTTCTGAGGATGGTCCAAGAGCCCCCACTCCTCATGGGTGAAGTCCACAGCCACATCCTTGAACGTCACCAAACCCTGAATCATTAAAAGTCATAGAATGTAAAGATGAAGGACACTTCAGATTTAAATAGTCCAACCCTCATTAATTTACAGAATGAAACTGAAGCACAGAGAAGGGATTTGCCCAAAGGTCATACCCTTTATGAAAGTCAGAGTCAACTCCTAAAACCATGGTCTTTAAGATCCCAATTGAATTTTGAGAAAAGCATTTTATATGATCGTTTGGAATAAAGCTGAGAAATATTTTCCTTTGAAATGTATTTCTCTGTGGAATCAGGGAGAAAGTTTCTGTTCTATCTGTGAGGTGGTTGGTTCTGTAGAAGAGAATGAGAGAGGGTGATGGGAAATATTTTCCTTATGAGAACCGATAAGTGATATATTCTTTTTTTTAAAAAAAAGTTACTTTTAAAAAATCTCTTATGTGCATATCAATGGTAAAATCTAGAATTTCTTTCCTTTCATAGTTAATGGAGTTATAGGAAGATTTACTTAAATCCAAAGACAAAGACACCAAATAAATTAGAGCACTTATGGATCGGAGGAAAGGGAAGCCCCATATCAAATTCATATTAGATATGCATATACTTAAGTCTAAATACATACATAATTATATGTGAACATATAACAATATTTCATATAATAGATCTCATATGTACCAAATTATTTGCATATTATCTCTTCCACAAGAATGTGAACTTCTTAGTATTAGGAACTGTGTTTCACCTTTTACAAAAGACATTTTATTTACAATACTGGGAACAAAACAAGCACTTCCATAAGACTACAATGGAAAAAAAAATGATTGCTCATGAAACTGCCAATCTACTATGTACAAGTTGGTATTCCCTTCACATATGCAACAAAGCTACCATGTAAATTTCTTTTCTTTCTTTCCCTGCCACAACCATAGCGACATCTGCCATGTGTATGCATATATATCTATATGTGTGTATATTTATGTACATGCAAATATATAACCATATATATGTGTGTATATACACAAAATTATCCCATACATACTATTTGTCAGTTCTTTCTCTGGATACAGATACCTTCTGTCTTTATATGCCCTTTATTTCTAATTTTGTATTTGTAATAGAATGATTGATTTGATCAAACTCTTCTGAATACAATATTGCTGTTACTGTATGCAACATTGTCTTGGTTCTGCTCACTTTACTCTTCATCTGTTTGTGCAAGGCTTTCAATGCCTTTCTAAGATCATTGAGCTCATCCTTTCTTACAGCACAATACCCTTTCATCGCAACCACACAAAACCCATTCAGCCTTTCCTAAAATGAAGGGGGTCCCTGTAATTTCCATTTCTTTGTCATCACAAAGCAAGTTGCTGTAGATGTCTCAATCACATTCAAAGTGATATAATTACTATCTTTCAATTTTTGTCCATCTTATTTTTACTCATGATTTTCTTTCTTGCCCTCTCTTTTTACCCTATTGCTTTTACTTTTTCTTCACTTCACATCCTCCTACCCCCCAATTCACCCACCATTCTAAGAGTCCTCCCTCCACTTCCCCCAATTTCAAACCACAAGGCCTCCAAAATTCTCCCCATCCCCCTAAATCCCACTTCACTCACCCTTCTAAAAAGTACTTCCCTGATCCTCTTCCCCAATTTTCTCACCTCTCTACATATTCAGAAGATTTCTACACCATTTGAGATATACATTTTTTTTCAACCCAGATGAGACTAAGGTTCCAACATTATCAGCCCTCTACCCCTACTCGCTTCCTCTGTATTAGTTCTTTTCACACCCCCTTTTTCCAATATCATTTCTCTTTTGACTTTCCTACCCAGTTTTGCTTTTATAATCACCCCATCATACACAACTAGCCAACACTTCTTTCAAACTACCTTAGTAATGATGACAGTTATAAGAATACTGATAACTTTTCATATAAATAATAAGTAAACAGTTTGATCTTAATGGGGCCTAATAATCAGTCTTTAATATTTTCCTTATATTTCTTTTGGATCGTTTATTTTCAATTTTCCAATGAATTCTGCTCTTTTTTTTACAAACCTGAAAGTTTTTCAGTTCATCAAATAGCCCCTTTTTTCCCCTTTCAGGATTATACTTAACTTTGCCAAGTAAGTTATTCTTGGATGCAATCATAGCTCTTTTGTTTGTTGAAATATAATGTCCCAAACCTTCAGTCTTTTAGAGGGTAATCTGCTAGTTTTGTGAAGTCCTAACTAGATTTCCACAATATTTGAATTGTTTCTTTTTCTGGTTGCTTGCACTATATTCTCCTCAACCTGGGAATTTTGAAATGTGGCTATGACATTCATGTATGTTTTCCTCTTAGCTTTACTTTCAGGTAGTGAATGGTGGATTTTTTCTCTTTCTACTTTACCTTGTGGTTCTAGAACTTCAGGTACGTTTCCTTAATTTCTTATTTGTAAGTCACATGTTCTAAAGAAAATTCTGTGAAAAGTCTATGTGAAGCTGGCAGGCGCATAACATTCTGGGGGAAAAAAGCCCATTTAATGTGATCACCTGAAAGAGAACAAAGTTAAAGAAAAAATCTGGTTTGTTTCCTGAGTGGTTGAAATAAAGTCTTATGTGGATGAAAATATGTGAAATCTAGACTGCTGTGACTCAAAAGAGATGGTCTCCAGCCAAGTGAAGGAGAGTTATCTGTTGTTACATTGAGGGCTTGAGGTCACTCTGTCATAGCCAAAACATCTCATGATTTTGCTTTAGAATTGCTTTTATTTGTCTATGTATGACACATATTCCTTAATTATAAAATTCATTACCTAGAAATGAAAGCAATTATGAAGAAGGGTAAGCTAGGTGTTCTAGTAGATAGAGCACTGGACTTGGTATCAGGATGATCTCATGTTCATAAATTCAAGTGTAGCCTTAGAAAGTTACTAGCTGTGTAACCCTGGAAAAGTCACTTAACCCTGCCTGCCACAGTTTCCTCATTTGTAAAATGAGCTTGAGAAGGAAATGGCAAACCCCTCTAGTATCTCAGTCAAGAAGAACTCCTAATGGTTCATAAAGTCTTGAACATGACTGAAATGATTAAACAACAACAATGTTGGAAAGAGGAGTTCCTTCATTGCTTAAAATAGAAGCAATCTTCAATTACCTTGGGTTTTCTTTGAGCTAATTCATCAGAAAAATGTTGCCAGTTTCTTTATGAGAAATAAATGATCTAATTATACATAGAGAACTGTAGAAACAAAATGATTCATTGAGAACCCCGACTCAAACAGCATTAGTCAGTTCATTATGATTTTATAAGAAGTAATGATCGTTAGTAATGATGTTAATATATTCATCTAGTCAATCATCAAATATTAAGTGTAAGAATAAACAATGTATTAATCCATACCTTGTATAAGTCACATATGAATATAAATTCTAATAAAAGGGCCCTATAATAGGCCTCAAACTTCAATTCAATGTTCATTACTTGTTTACTAGCTATGAAGTTCACTTGCATAACTACAAGAATGCTGACAAAGATATCTCTGTTCTGTTTTGCTCAAATTCCATGACCAAACCAAGCATGGGTGGTGGCATGGTATAAAAAGTCCCCCCATATCCTCCTATATGTACTTGGAATGTATGTAGAGATTGTCCCATCTCCTCCTGCTTAAGCTAAGGAGGAGCCCATCCATCTTATAACCACTTCATCAGTGGAGATATTCCCTGCTTCACACAACTCATGACCCTGCTGACAGATCATTTTTGCTTCTTATAGCTTAAGAGTCTTATGTCAACCAATGGGATTCTATATTTTGCATAGCTGAATTTAAAACCTACTGAATAGTTCATAGACAACCCAAGGATCACAGGTCTCCCAGTACAAAATGACTGGGCAAAAAAAAATTGAAACAACCATGGAGGAAATATTCAAAGAGAATTGGCCAGAACTTCTGAACATAGAAAATGACATTCCAATTTTCAAAGAATTCAGAAATCACTTCCAGAAAAAAACCCATTGGATGCCTTCTAGAAGGCGGCAGTATAGGTCAGAAATTTCCAGGCTCTCTGGATTTCCTCCACAAACAGAAAATCACCACAAAATGAATATAGAAAAGCAAAAATAAAGGCAAAAAGCAGTTGGAGGGCAACTTGAGAGCACCTCATTGAAGACCCCAGGGGCTGAGTGAAGAGTAGACACCACCAGGCTGACTCCCCTGAATTAACAAACAGTAGTCCTAGGAGACTAGGCCTCAATTTCACCTCTGGAAATTTTACATCACAAACTTCCATCTGAGGAAGAGCAGACAGTGAGGGAAGCTAGAAAGACCCACTGATGTTTCCAGAAGTCAAGCCTAGCAGTGCTGAGCAGACATGACCTTGAGCAGTGGCTGTGGGTGAGAGGAGCTAGAAGAAGCCCAGTGAGTGTGGTACCACAGGGAGCAAGAACATTTTCAGGACAGTGTGACTGGGGCTTAGGGGAGCAAGAGAGGAGGTCCTAAGGTGGAGCCCCCAGAGAGAATTCAGAAAACAAGAGTAAGGAGGACCTGAGGCTTAGAGTAACATTACCCATCAGATTTGGATTAAAACTTGATTGTGATACTAAAGCTGCTAAAAGTAAAATGAGACAAATTTAAAACAAAAAATGAGTAAGCAAAGGAAAAGAACCCAACCACTGATAACTACTTTGGTATGAAAGAAGATCTGGGTCATATTCAGAAGGAAATAGTGAGATTACAAAAGCCACTCCTATCCTGAAGAGTAAAGTCAATTGGACACAAACTCAAAAAGAAATCTTAGAAGAACTTAAAAGGAGTTAAAAGACAATGAGGAAAAATTAGAAGAAAAAGAAAGTGAAAAAATTATGAAAAGAAAGGAAACCATTTGGGAAGAGAGATACAAAACCATAAGGAAGAAAATTTTATTGTAATGTGTTATGGACATGACATGCTTATTTTCTTCCAAAAATTGAAATTTAATAATGATTAAAAATAATGCAAGACTAATGCAAACCCACTAGAAATGGAGAGGAAATGGAATGTGTTCCAGAGCATGCTGGAGTACAAGATGTAGCCCAGCATGACCTATCCTAAAGATGTGAGCTTAACAATATGGGACAAAAAGTGGATATTCAATAATGAAGAGGAGTCTGAAACATTTTTAGAAAGAAAACCAGAAAGAAGATTATTTGCTTATAGAACAACCCAAACTGAACAAATACAGGAGCAGTGAACAAATGTAGACAACAGCAGTAGCAGAGTAACAACAGGCAGACCAATAAGAGATTTCTTTCTCAAAGTACACAAGCAGACAGGGATGAAGGAGGAAATCTGGTGGAGGTACCAGTGTAGAGGATGACAGGGGGGATTATGGACAGAATCTTCTGACATCCTGCCTGTAGCAGTGTTGAGGGCTGATCTTAAGAGTCTGATAAGGGTTTAAGATCCAAGGCAGAGTTTGACCTCTGCCCAGGCTTTTACCCGTAAGGGCTCCATGATTAAGTGGTACGGCTCTTCAATCCCTTCCTGATTAGGAGGCCCCTGAGACATTCCTTCTCACTCTTTGAACCTTAGATTTACACATTCACTCCTCTATGCAGGTGGCACCAAGGCACCTGGGAAAACCTTGGAAAATGCAACCCAATCTAGGAACCCTGATAACGAGGAAATTCATGTTGTCACATCCTCAGCAGATGTTCTGGGAGTATCTCATGGGGAGGACTCTTTGAAGTTAGGCTAGATTTTCTCTATATATACTGTACCCTCAGATGAATAAACTGAGTCAGTAATTCTGCTCCGCCTGGCCCATGTCACTAGTTATTACACGCCTCTCCATTCGGTGTACAATCTGGTTGCTGGCAACACAGCAGAAGGTCCTTTTGTGGCACTACATTACACCAAGGGAAGATGCATGAAAGGGAGGAGGAGAAGACTGGACAGGAAGAAGAGAGTGATATGACAAGGTCTCATCAAAGACCAGAAATTGTCAATTCAATTCCATATACATTTACATTGTGCTAGGCACAATGCTAAGAACTGAGGACACAAAAAGGGGTAAAAGACAGTCCCTGCCTCAAGTAGGTCACCATTTAATAGGTGAGACATCAAGCAAACAAATATATACAAAGCAAGTTAAGTCCAGAACAAATAGAACATAATTAGAAGAGAGAAGGAATAAGAATGAAGAGGGGTTAGGAAATACTCCCTTAGCTTTTTAGTTGTTGATTGGAATTTAAAGGAAGACAGTGAGGTTAGTAGTCTGAGCTGGGGTATTCCAGGCATGAGGACAGCCACTGAAAATGCCTAGAGCTGAGAGAAGACAGGAGGCCAGATCCATTGGATTAAAGGATAAATGTTTGGGAGTAAGCTGTAAGAAGACTAGAAAGGTTATTGGGAGCAGGGGGAAGGAAGTAGGTTGAAAATGGCTTTGAATGCCAACAAGAGCATTTCCTATTTGATCTTGGAGGCAACAAATAGGGAGTCAGTGGAATTTATTGAGTAGTGCAGTGACTTAATCAGAATTGCATTGTAGGAAATGATTAGTGGCTGAATGGGGAATGGCTTGGAGTGGGGAGAGCCTTGAGGGAGGCAGACCCACCAGTAGGCTATATTAGTAGACCAGGCATAGGAGATGGGGCCATGCACTAGAATGGTGGTAGTGTCAGAGGAGAGAAGGGGGTATATTCTAAAGATGGTGCAAAGGTGAAACTGACAGGCCTTTGCACCTTAATGGATATGTGGGGAAACAGAAGGCCAGGATGACTCTGACAGAAATTGTTAATATAATGACATAAATTACTAATACAACATGTAATGTGGATTTCCACTCCCTTAAACAATCCTTGTAAGGTCAGCTTTCAGTAATGTCCTAACCTTCATACTCTTAAAAAATTTACTTTTGATTAGGTTGAACTGAACCACACATTAAGATCTCCCCACCCTCCCACCCCTACCCAGGGAAGTTGCCTTGTGGGGAGCCCAGCTCAAGAGCTCAGCTTCTAGTGTCTTTGCCCTCTGACATTGGGATTCAAGGTATGAAGGGCAGAGCAGCTGGAATGAGGTGGCTTTCCTTGCCTGGATTGCTAAGGGCCACTGGGGTCTCATGACCAGGCTTGCTACTTCATACTGCCTCCTCCCTCTGTTCTCCTAAAACTATAAAAACTTTTTCATGGGTCTCTTTGATTGGGAAATACATTGGACATCCTCTAGGCTGGTAGGTTGCTTCATTCCTCAATTCATACCTTTGATTTATTTCAGGACTTCAAAACTCCTAGATGGGAATGGGAAGATAGTATACACACCCCTCCTTAGCTCATACCACCTTGGCAGAACTGAAAACTTACAGTGAGCCCTCCACCCTGAAAGCAGAGCATCACTTCAGTGAAAAGTTAAAAGTCAAGGAATAGGGAGGAAAAATGAATAAATAACAGAAAAAATTATGACTATAGAAAGTTACTGTGGTGACAAAGAAGATCAATGCACACTCAGAGGAACACAACAAAGTCAAAACTCCTACATCCAAAGTCTCAAAGACAAATCTGGACTGGTCTCAGGCCATGGAAGAGCTGAAAAGGGATTTTAAAAATCAATCAAGAGATGTAGAGGAAAAATTGGGAAAGGAAGGAGAGTGATACAAGACAATCATAAAAAACAAGTCAAAAGTTTGGTAAAGGAGGTACACAAAAATCCTGAAGAAAAGAACTTCCTAAAATGTGGAATTTACCAAACAGAAAAGGAGGTACAAAAGGTCTCTGAGGAAAATAATTCCTTAAAAATCAGAATTGAGCAAGTGGAAGCTATTGGTACTATGAAACATCAAGAAACAATCAAACAAAGTGGGGGGAAAAAAAGAAAAACAGAAGGCAATGTGAAATACCTTTCCAATGGCTCTCTTCCATGATTGGAAAGTTCTCTATCCTGACCCTAACCCTAAACAAAAATGCCTGGTCTGGGTTTCCTTCAAGTCTCAGCTAAAATTTCACTTTCTGAAAAAATTATTGTTCTGGTCCCCAAAACTATTAGAACCTTCCCTTTCAGACTTAATGCCATTTTATACCCTACAGAGCTTGTTTGGACAAAGCAGGTGACTTGTTGGGGCAGTTCAGTGGCACTTTGGATAGAGTGCTGGTCAGGGACTGAGGAAGACCTGAGCTCCAATATTGCCTCAGACACTAGCTGAGTGACCCTGGGTAAGTCAGACTTAACCCTGTTTGCCTCAGTTTCCTCATCTGTAAAATGAATTGGAGAAGGAAATGGCAACTACTCCAGTGTAGTTACCAAAAAAAAACTCCATATGGGTCACAAAGAGTCAAATGGAACTAAAATGAATGAACAACAAGGTGACATGTTGTCTCTCTCATTAGACTATGAACTCCTTGAGGGCAGGCACTGTTTTTTCCTTCTTCTGTGTCCAGGGAAGTTTTGAACAGGGCCTGGCATAAAATGGCTTTTTGGGGCCCCTAGAGTTCCCAGCTGTATGACCCTGGGAAAGTCACTTAACCTTATTTCCCTCAGTGTGCTCCTCTATAAAATGAGCTAAAGAAAGAAATAGCAACAGGGATCTCTTCCAAAAACAACCCAAATGGAATCATGAAGATTCAAAGAGTCAGACAGAACTAAAAAAAACCCCAACAACAATAACAAATGTTTACTGATTGGACCCAACAAAGGATAAAGGGGAAGGATTCAGGGAGACCTGGGAAACTTGCCTGACCCATTCTAACGAGGGAGAACTTCAGAACAAACAAGGGAAGGAGGAGTCTGTGCTCCATATGCCAGAGTGTCAGTGAACTAGTTTAACACAGAGAAGCAGAGAGCAGGGCAGTGTTGTTACTGCCTTATTCAATTTCATGCCTATTTTTGGAGAGAAATGGTCCATAAGGAAGGTATTCCCAACTTCATAGACCATCCTCCATGTCTAACCCTAACCCTAGTCAGAAGACTGCACTCACCTGGGGTGGGGGGCTGTGGCTCCCAGGGGCCATTCCCTCTGGCTCCAGGCTCCTGCTTTGGGCCTGGCCTTGGTGCTTGGCAGATTGAGCTGGGCAGGGAGGAGAAGAATCCCTATGGGGTAGGTCTTTCTCTTCTCTTCCTAGGCAGGAGGCTGGCCTGCAGGGCTTTCCAGAGAGTGAAGTCCCAGAGGAGTTACAAAAGCCAATGCCTTGCCCTCAGGGGAGAAATTCCAACCTACCGGGGGAAGAGGAAGCAGGGAGGGTCCAGCTTTAAAATGTAGATGGCCTGAACAGGAAGACTACTTCCCTCCCTCTCTTACTCCTTCTCTTCTGCCCTTCCCCTCTCCGTTCTCCCATAGAGATCCAAAAGCCTGAGGGGGCTTGGGATCCCAGATGGGATGAGGTCAGAGCCTCAGTGGCTCTTAAGTTAGAGCTCTCCCTCCAACTGGCCCTCTGCCCTCCCTGAATTCCCTCTGTCTGACTCACACATTATGTAGATAAGAAACTGACTCCTTAAAAAAAAATAAATTTAAAAAATTTAAAAAAAGAAAGAAAGAAACGGACTCCTTGATCTAGGAGAGAAGCTAAGCAAGGTTGAGGATTGGGAAGGCTCTTGAATGGAGATACCAAGGAATGACTGGGGAAGCCTGAGACTAGGACACAAAATCCAGTCTGGAATTCAGCCCCCTGGCATGGCACCTGAGGCAGGGAAGCCTGAAGCCTGGGTAAGGGGGGAAGGACTATGGTCTGGGAGGCAAGACATTCTAACATAGCTCATGGCAGGGAGGTGGGGAACACTGGACTGATAGAAGGGCTCCAGATGCACACTGAACCTGGGGAAGCAGGATGACTGTGTCCTGAGGTCTAACTAGGAGCCAAGGAGGACTGTTGAGATTTTCTGGTAGAGCTTAGGCTTGGAATCCCTAAAGGGAAACTGGAGACAGGGAGCCAGTGCCTGGGATCTGATAGGGAACCAGCCCCAGAGCCATGGGTGCAGAGAAGAAAGATCAGAAAAGAGTTTTGGAAACTGAGTCCAAGGTGGCATCCTGGGGGGTAAGGGAGGATTTCTGGATCTTCAAAGGAGGCAGGATCTGAAGGCAAGACAACAGAATTTCTAACCAAGAACTTAAGAGATTAGTGGATCTGGATAGGAAGGCTGAAATCAGGATTCCCACAATCCTACAGGCAAAGTCTGAAGTCTGAAAAAGTGTTATCCAATGGTAACTGTGGGGAAGGTGAGCCAGGAATTTAGGAAGTTACTGGGAATCTGGAGAAGGTTTAGGGGCAGGGAGCTCATTCAATAGCCAGGCTTGGGAGGAAGGTGTGCTACTGGCCAATTTTTAATACACTCACCAAGAGGTCAGATGAGAATGAGACCCAATGGCAAGATCAGCCAGAAGAAGCCTGGAAATATGGGGTGGAGGGTGGGGAACTCTGCTTTAGACCTACCTGGGACCTGCAAGCACAGAGCTGGCATCCAAAAGGCAGAGCAATGAGCTCCGGAGAAGGCAGAGAGATCTCAGATTACTAGGAAGAAAGGAAAAAGATTTGAGATGCCAGAAAGCAGAGCAGTCCAGGCTCAAAGACTTCCTCCTTCTGGCCAGCCCACTATGGGAGGGTCTTCCTATTCCCAAGAGTGCCACCTTGTCCAGCCCCTGAAGGCCCCTGGATGGCTGGGCCCTTTCCACCAATCACACCCAGGGCTAGGACTCAGAGACCCTGATTGCTCTCCTCCCTAAGCCCTGCCCTCCATCACATGGAATGCCTCTCCAGTGCAGTGATGCCTTTTGCAGTCCTAAACTCCTCCCAGGCCTCCAAACTCCACCCCAGGGCTCAAATTCCAGCTGGGCCACTACCCATGAGGCTGCTGATCTCTGTGGGCTCCTCCTCTCCAGTGTCTCCACCCTTTCCTCCCTCCCTTCCAGACTCCCTCCCTCTTCCTGAGTGGAAAGACTGCCAGGATAAAACTGCAGCACCAGAGTAACTGAAAGTAATACTCCAAGCTACAGAGGGAGTGAGGAAGCAGGTAGGGTCAGGCTTGGATACGAAGATGGTCTGAAAGGGGAGACTACTTCCCTCCCTCTCTTACTCTTCTAACTCCTCTCCTCATCCTTCTATAGAGTCCCAAGAGGTACAGGGGACTTTGGGATCCCAGATGGGATGAGAGCACTCAGAGCCTCAGTGTCCCCAGAATCAGAGTTGCCCCTCCAGCTGGTACTCTGCCCTTCTTGTATTGAGAACCAAGGAGGAACAACAGTCTATGAGTAGTAGTAGCTGCCCCACTGGGGACCAAGTGGCCAGTTCCAGTTGGGCAATGCTGCTATTAACTTCCTTCCTTCCTTCCTTCCTTCCTTCCTTCCTTCCTTCCTTCCTTCCTTCCTTCCTTCCTTCCTTCCTTCCTTCCTTCCTTCCTCCCTTTCTCCCTCCCTCATAGGGAGTCATAGCCTTAAGTGTGAGTGTTCTATCCAAAGGAATATTAATGTTGATTGCTTAAACCTCCCAAAATATCTTGAATTTGGGGGCTACATTTTTTTTTTTTGGTGAGGGTAATTGGGGGTAAGTAACTTGCCCAGGGTCACACAGCTAGTGAGTGTTATGTGCCTGAGGCCGGATTTGAACTCTGGTCCTCCTGACTCCAGGGCCGGTGTTCTATCCACTGTGCCACCTAGCTGTCCCTGGGGCTACATTTATTCCTTCTCTACTCATTTATTCTATCATTTTTTAAAAAATTGGCACAATGAACTGTCATCTTCATTCATGATTTCTTAAAATATAGCTCTGCAGCTCAACACCCCTTGCCAGCAAGAAGCAGTTTCAGAAACTAAGACCCTCATCACTTACCCCAAAGTAATTTGGGTCTCATTTGTTTGAGGGGGAATAATGGGGAAGGGATCTGAACTCCTAAAAGGAAAAGGCCATATCTTTGGGATCTGGATGCTAGAAAGGAAAAATCCTGGACTTTCCCACTTGGCCAAATCTCTGCAGTTCACCTGGGGCTATAATCCTATCAAGTGGCCTTTCATTCAGGCTCAGAAATGAAATGCCATGCTCTCCTCATCAACTCTTACACATTCACAATTGTGATGCCCATCTTTAATCTGTTGCAAAGTCCTGTTGATTCCACCTTGGTGACATCTTTCACATATATCTCTTTGTCTCTCAGTGCTGTCCCTTTCTTGGTGCACACCCTTGTCCCCACACCTGAGATAATGTCAGAGCCTGCTGGTTGGTCCAGCTGCCTATCTCCCCCCAGTCCAGTTCTTCCTCCACCCAGGTATATAGTTCATCTTCCTAAAACTCTCACCTGACCATGTCCCCACCTTCTCCACAACCTCCCCAGGTAAAGTATCAAATACTAAACCCTCTCTAGGGCAGGTAAAGCACTTCATCACCTCCCCCTTTCTACTCTTCCAGTCTTCTTTCACCCTTCCACCTTCCCATATATGTTATAATTCATTGGTCTGGGCCTCCTTTCTGTCCCAGGGACAGGATGTTCCACCTCTAGACCTCATGGTTTTCCTTGCCATCCCTGTTGCCTAGAATGCTCTCCATGGCTTCGCTGAAGCCCCAGCTACAACCCACTTCTCACAATAAGCCTTTCTCAGCGCTCCTTAAACTTAGAGCCTTCCCTCTTGTGACTAGCTCCTCTTTATCCTGTCCACAGTGGGTTTCTACATAGCTGTTGGAGTGTTCTCTGCCCCACCACACTGTGAGCTCCGTTAGGGCAGGGGATGTTCCTTGCATCAATTTGTGTGCTTGGTCCTGTGCACAAGGTCTGGAACAGGGTAGGCACTTGGATGTTTGTTGACTTGAAGAAAGTCTAGGAATGAAATCATGTAGGATACCCTAATCCTTTTTTGTACTTTCAGAAGAATTCCATGCCCCCAAATTCCAAACAATGACTTCTTTTAGGATCATGGATTTATCCCTGGAAGGGAGCTGAAAGGCCATGGAGTCCAAACCCTCATTTTATAGGTAGAGAAACTGAGGTTCAGTGATTCAGTGACTGACAAAGAAAGCCACTACTGAGAAATATCTGAAAAAGATGTCCGAGTCAGTGGTGTTTGCCTTTTGAAATTGATCTCTGCTTGTGGGGCACAGGAGGCACTGTCCCACACTTCGTGTGCTGGGGGCTAGGGGTCTGGTTACTGGCTTTGTGTGCTAGTGCCTCAGGTGCCGGCAGTTGGAGGCTGTAGGGATGTAGTAGCTTAGCTGGTGCTGAGCTGGAGCTGGTGGTGTTTGCTGGTGTGTGCCTAGCCCAGGTGGGGGTTTTCTGCATTTCCCTGGGATTACACTGAAGCTTGCAGGGTGGGTGTGGGATGGGGTAGGGGGTGGTCTGGCCACTGGTGGTTGCCTCCTTTCCCTGGGCTGTGCTAGAGCATGGGTAGGTTCACCTGCTGGTGAATGCCTGCCAGTGCATATGGTGGTTCTCTGTGCTGGCATCTGTCAGTTCCCCTGGCTGTGCCAAGGCACTTGGCAATCCTGGTATTGGCACTTGCCTGCTCCACCACCCTAGGGCTGAGGATCTCCCATTGGTTTGCTGAGGTGAGGCTTGCCACAAGCTTAATGGGATGCCTCCCATCCTGTACTGGTCTCCTTCAGTCACAGCAAAAGGGATCTTTCTGGTTAATCCCCCTAGCTTCACAAGCTAAAAGACTGCTGTATCCCATCTTTCTGCTGGCTCCACTACTCCAGGATTTTTTCTGGGGTGGTATTTTCTGGGTTTTTCAAGGTCAGTAAGGGAAGGTGAGAGTTACTTCCTGCTTACTCTGCCATCTTGGCTCCCAAAAGTCAACAAAGCAATTTTTAATCTGTATTTTATTGCATGTGAATTGAGTTTTTAAATGGATATGATAAAATTAGATAATTTGAAAACTGTTAAATATTTAGTGAAGTATATTTAGTTCTAAACAGAGAATAATATTATTTACTATAGCAAATTTTCATTTTAAAATCTTGGCTATTATGAAAGTATGTAAGGTGGTTTAAAGACGTAGCTTCAACATAGTAATGATGATATGAATGATTTTCTGTGCAAGGTAATTTGGAAGTGCATTTACCTAAACTGATATTTGGTTTGTTTCAAATT